ATTACTGTATGTTTTAAATATTTATTTATATTTTTTTGTTAAAAAATTAATTTTCTTTATCAAAGATGACAAGATACCGTAGCCAGGCAATGTTAATTATTTGACTGGATGTTTTAAATATTTATTTATATTTTTTTGTTAAAAAATTAATTTTCTTTATCAAAGATGACAAGATACCGTAGCCAGGCAATGTTAATTATTTGACTGGATGTCACTGAGGCCAGTTCAAAGAAACTGTTAACTCTTTAGCTGTCGCTCATAAAATAAGAACAAACTGCATATTAAAATGTCACATGATGATAAGGAAGACAGGCAGACGGAGTCTAAAGGAAAGGTAACACAGGTAATATGAATAAAAATAAAACATCAGCAGCAAAAGCAACAACAACAACAAACAACTGTCAGCTTCTTATGGCTGGCAACATTTTAGCAAAATTACCAAATTTGGCAGCAAGAGGCATTCGAATGAGAGAGAGAAAAAAATACGGAAAAAAACAAAAAATGCAAACAAAAGGCCAGAACAAATAAATAAACAAATGCAGGTCCAGTTCGTGCCGAAGACCGAAAGCCGTTGAAGCAGCCAAGTTGATCCAAGATATCAACAGTTAGGAGGAGCAGCAAATGGAAATTGGGGAGCGTGAGACAGAGACAGAGAGAGAGAGAGAGGGGAGAGGGAGGGCTTGCTGCCCGTGGGCAGAGACTAAGTGGAACCATTGTCTGTCTGACTATATTTGGCCTTATGTTGGTGTCAGCCGATCGTTGAGTAATAAATTAACCCTTATGACAGCCGCAATTAACCCTTATGACAGCTCTAATCAAAGTCATCAAACCGACCCAGACAAAATTGCAGAATATGCCACGAATTCCAAGTCGGCCATAGAGGGGACAGCGCTGGCAGAAGGGTTAAGTCCGACCACTGCATCGGCCAGTCGAAACGAATTCCACATGGACTTAACCTATGTCTTGGCCAGCTTTGAAAAGATCCACATCAATTGACAGTGGACCGCTACACTTGGGACAGTGACATGATTGGCGAGTCGAGGCTCCAGCTCCAGCTCCAGCTTCAGCTTCAGCTCTAACCTAGCTCTGGCTATGGCCACATCGAGGCGTTGACTGGATAGCGCCCAGCTGTAGGCGCTCTTTGTCGGGCAGCTTATCGGCTTGCATAAATCTGGATTTCTATTTCCGCAAAGTCGCGTAATCGAATCGAATGGCGAACCTGAATCGCAATTTGTCAGCTTTTGGTAATAACTTCGGACATTTACCGTAAGCGACGTCGCTAACGTAAATTTAACCTGTTGCGCGTTGCGCGGGCTTTAATTTGGACGGGTCCGTCAGGCGGTTAAGCCAAGCCCGGCCAGGCCAGGCCAGGCCAGGCCAGGCCAAGCTAGCTAGTCAGATAAACGCCTTAGATATGAGTTACGCTATCCATAAGATACGTCGCGCTACGTCGACGGCCTAATTGATTTTCGCATGCGACGTGACCGCATCTCGACATTTTATGGCATCATTATTGTCATTCATAAATCGTACGCTCGTTATCTGCTATTCAGGTCTTTAGATCATTTTCGCCAACTGCATTTCGCACGCGTTCAACGGTTTCTTTGCCACCGATTAACTCTATGCATAAACGGTGTTAATAGGCAAACAGATAAACAGCAACTGGGAGGGGGAGTGGGATACCGAGCAAAGCAAGAGAAGATATAAGGAGAAGAAGAGGGAGAAAGTCTGAGACAAAGAGGAAGGGAGAAAAAGAGCAAACAATAGTTGAATATTAAGCTTTGCAGCAGAGAAAGAGAGGGAAAGAAGGAGAGAGAAATAAAGAGAGAGAAAGAGAAATAGGCAGAGACTTAAAGTCGCTCTCTTTGAGTTTTTGATGAGTTGAATATCAATCCTTATAGTTCTTAATACAGAAGTATCTAACTTATGATAAGCATTAAAGCAGAGAAAGATGAAGAAAGAAATTGTGATAGAGGGAGAGAGAGAGAGAAAACGAGGCTTAACAGTATACAATCAACAGTTCTATAAATCTTTAAAGAATAGACAGATAAGATTGTATGTTAGAAAACTGGAAGGAAAGATGATCGAGATTGTATTTTCCAGTGTCTTGTGAGCTGAAATAAAATCTATTATAAAATGTACATATCTTTATATGTATCTATGCTCAATGAGTACGGCATAGAAAAGGCATAAAAAATAGATATGTTCTGTCTCATTATTTATAAGTAATTAACAGACATACATTTTCTGAACTTGATATCTAAAGTGATATACTGCTGAAATGTCAAATTAAATTCCACTTTTATAATAATAACAACAAGAAAGATACATTAAAAATTAAGAGAGAGGAGAGAGAGATAGCACCTCCATATGCACATCTACAGCTCCCATAATGCAACTATCTTGTAAGATATATTGCCTCAGCCGGCATTTATCTGAGCAAGCGCATCCCGATTACACAATTCGAATTCCGATTTACAATTCAACTCGGCATTTGGGAGGGGAGCCGTTAAATGTAAGCCCCAAAGCATTTTAAGCATTATTTGCTCAATGCATATGGAGCTATCTTATTAAGTAAGTATTAAGCTGCCAACTTTTTAGCAGAGCTGAATTATTTTATTTTCATTTAACATTTTTTTTTTTTTTCGTCTTTTAGTTTTCGATGTGAAAAAGAGTCAAGTGAGGTCGGGGCTCGACAAAATGTAGTTGGGGCTAGTAACGACTACCTTCGGTCGATTGTTTTTTATTTAGCTCTTGTTGCTGCTGCTGTTCGTGGCGGCTGCTGCTGGCTTATGTAGTGGCTGTGATTTTTTGCTTGTATTTTAAATTGTTACTGCATTTATTTTTTGCAGCTTGTAATTGTTGTTATTATACAATTGGCCCCTCGATAAAAACACTGAAAAAACAATGTAAAATGCAAACGACACTCTGGCAAGTTTGTTTTTGTTTCTCTGACCTATGTTTAGGGTATTATGGAATTTCTACATGCTGTGTGAATAGCATAGTTTTATGTATTATTACAGCTGATATAGCCAGGATATTGATTGGATAATAATATTTATCAGAGCTGTTATATATCTATTATTTGAGCATATTCTATAGAAGTTCTTGCATTCATAAATAAATATTTGATAATATATATTTATATTTTTGATTAATCTTAG